CAAATCGTAACCGCACTAGACCTGTCTCTTATCCACATCTAGATGTGTATAAGAGACAGGAACACTTCTTTACTGCTCCTTAGAATTTAGTTGCAAATGCATAGTCTTCCATTTTGAGTCTAACATGATCAGGTGAAAATCCAGAATATTGCAGCTTCCCATTGGCAGATGGTTGAAAAGCTGTTGTACAGTAGCAACAGCCAACTACAACAGATTATGGTAAAATGAACTTAGTAGTGTATCTTCACTACTAATTTTAAGATAGATCATTGCTGCTCAAATCATGATTAACTGGTTTGTAAGTACTTTATTAAGAAACCAAAAACCTTCCAGCCTTCATCTGTTAGGATATTAAACTTGCTGAAGAGACTTCTATAAGGTCAGTGGTTAAGAAAATAAATAGCATTTGCAGGGTACCATACTAAAATGATGCTTAGTATCAGGGTTAAAGTAGCCAGTTTCTTAAAGTAAATAAACTTATAGATCATTCTGCTAATATTGGGTTAATAAATACAAGAGGAACACGCCAACCTCCTGAGAAAGATCCTAGGAAACTTGATACTTAATGTACTTTCATTTCTCTTTCATAATCTGGCCTTAAAGTATTTGTTGTCATCAATATTTATACTAGTTGAAATATATTCATGGTTTCTTATTGAATATTTCTATTTTTTGGTAAGTTTGATTGTATTTCCTCGTATTTTCTACTAGAAAGAAAAAATCAGAAATATTTATACTATCAAATAATTGTCACAGTTTTGTAGATTTGAAAAAATGCTGTCTAACATTTTTGTTACAGTGTTACAGTATACTGTAACTTGACATAAATTGCAAGTCTCAATGTCACAAATTGTTCTTAAAAACAAGCTCTGCTAGGTCTGCAAATGTCATTAATGCTGCTGACCTTGCACATTTTAATACAGTATTTCCACTTTTTATGATATATACTGTGAATAAAATATAGCAATGTCTGTTGTATGGTTTGATTGGCTTGTAATGGGATTTCGTAAAGGAACATGAGTGTTTGATATAATTCATTTTTGAAGAACATTTTTACAGAAATAAACGTCTGTGTTAATACATTGTATTTATCGACCCTGTCACACCTTGACGTTTTAACCAGTTTATGCCGACATATCAACATTTTTCTAAAATGCTCTCATACGCTGAGCTATCAATTTTTTTTTTTCCAATTTTGGGCATACATTGCGTATTCATGACAAGTTGAACATATACATAATGTATTAGTAACTTATAGAATGTTTTGGTAACTTATAGATAATAAATGCTTAGCGTGTTGCCAATGTTCACATCTTATGCACAAGTATGGTCTAACTTATGCACAGCACGCGGCAGCGTATCGCCGACGACCATGTGACGTAGCCTATAAAAAGGCTGCCGCTCGTCGATTCAAATCGTAACCGCATTAGACTTTGCAGTATCAACATCACGGTATCAATATAATCCCCCCTTTTTATATATATAATTGTTTTTCTGAAATTATTAGTCAAAATCAGCTGATAATTATTTTGAATTAATATTAATATGGGTGATACAGTGTACTTTATTCTGAAATATAGATTATCTATTAAAGTAAAACCCAACTGGTAATAAACTTACAGTATATGGAAATCCAAAATTAGAATTTTAAAGAGCATGTCATTTCTAATAGATGTTATTTTTATTGCCAACAGTCTGTATATTTCAAACATTTGTAGCAAACATTTGTGCCATGCTTCTCTTGATCCCATCAGTTTATTAAAATATGGAAAAAGGTTTTCATAAGCTTACCAAGTTATTTAATTTCCTGTTTATATGAGGATGACCAAAAGTTACTAAAACTCCACCCCTCCTCTCTTATGCCTGATGCTTTTTAAAGATGGTTAATGCATTCATTGCCATGGTATTATAGGCCTTGAAGGTGAATTAACAAATATATGGATTAATGTACAGTAAAAGATAAAGACTATCTTTGTAGATATTATTTTTGGTATGATTTGTTTATATCTCATTTTGCAGGTTAACTGTTTTTAATGGTAATGTATGGAGTTGGCCTTTCCGTAACATTGCATTGGAGGTGACCTCTAAAGAACCACATATTTATTTAGAACATATTCATTTAGATGAAAACTTTAATAAATTTGGTTAAAGTTCATATAAACAATTCTGTGCTCACTGAATGACTACAGCTTCTGTTCTACTGTAAAATACTGTACTGCTTTTATATTAATCTGTTTATCTGTTGGTAGTTCCAAAGAGTATAGAACTGCAA